TGCCGAGGATGTCGAGATCTTCTGTTGTCCAATCAATCATTCCTGATTGCGTGAATTTGGAGGAGATCTGAAATCGGGAATCTTGTCCTGCGTGTGGACGGGGCTCTGTGCCAGTATCGACCCGATATCCGCTCCGCTTGTGCGAGATTGCACCGAGCATGGCGTGTCTGTCGATATAGTCGGGTATCATACGTGAAGAATCGTCGTGCAGCCACCTGGGGAACAATACGCTTGTCGAGACATTCTCCGAATCGAGTTAAACACACCCAGAATCTTATACATTGGCAAGGTGAAAGCGTGACCCTCCTTGATGTCGACTAGAACGAGGGCGGGGGATGAAAAGTTACTCGCAAACGGCTTCCAATCCCACGATAATCTAGGACACACTCTCGAGCGCAAGAGTGGAAGTTCTGCTATCTTGAACTTGGAGAAATATCATGGTCGGTAGACAGTGTCAGTGCACACTTCGGGACTCTACATCAATTTCGGGAATATCAAGCATCCGACTTTGAAAGGAATCTGATCATACGGCATACGACCCCTGGATACGACCGGCTCCTGAGGTATTCGAATCGCGCCGGTAGTGATATGTTCATGTGGAATCGTCCTTCTGCATCCGGTATTCCCCAGAGTAAACTCCGCGTATAGTGACATCTCCTACAAGCGTCTCTGGAAGAAGCCGTAGCTGCGGGGATTGCGAGGACTCTTCCTGCTCCTAAGACGTGAGGCCAGAAGCACGAGGGAGCTGACCACCAACAGGGTGGCGGTCCCAATCGCCTCGAGCATCTGCATAGCGGAGACGTCCAGAAGCTCGAGCGACTTCCGGAGTCCTGTGCGCCCGCGGCATCCGCACCATTGATCTTGTATTGAATGAAGTCAGAATTTGTCGGAATTCTCTCGTCTCCGATAAAGAGTATGGAGTTCGAGACTAGGACGTGACGCGCAAGCGGAGCTTCACGCCGACACAGTATTCCACGACGTGTCTGGGCGACCAACGGGAAGGCAGCGTCACGCAAACGAGATCACAATACGGCGAACGGGCGAGATTATGATTCATCTCGACAAACGACATGGAGGTCCACACGGCTGATCGCTTCGGATAACAGCCGGTACTGGAGTCAGTACGAATCTGTAGTTCGAGGGGGGAGGGGAGAAAAACTGCCCCGTGTTTTTCCGGGTCGCTCTTATCCAGACGGCGGATAAAAGTTCACGCGGAAAACTCGGGTCCAGCTCCCTTGGCTGTTCTCGATAGATGGCCGTCCGGGACGTGGGAGCATCACCTAGCTATTCGAGCCTCCTCCGATTGGCTCTTCCGCCATCAATACAATTAAGCTTCGAATGGCAGTCCCGGAAGAGCAATGAACCGCATCGGTGATCGGTATCAAATGTTCGGTCTCGAGCTCGTTTATCATTGGACTGACGAGGCCGAGCTTCGTTTCTCTGTCGTCCGGAGGCGTGTATCGCGCGTCGGTGACGGGACACCTTGCTAGAGGCTACCCCTGCATCCCCCCGCTAATTGTTTCAGTTCTGGATTTCTTTTCAAATGCGGAATGCGACTACGAGATCGCGATCTGTGCTTCACACCACAGTGATAGCGCACTCTGATCGATCAGACCCGGGATGGTCTGATCCGACTCGTCCGCTTTGCTAGAGACCGCCGACCTCGCCGAGAAATTCGGTTCCAACACCCGTCCTGATTTACATGAACGCAATGAAAATCGGTGACTCGAGCTCTGACGAAGACTCGGTGATCGTCGGAAATGTCGTGAAAGGATAAGTGTCGTCGTATGTTGCCATCCGGAATCCATATTCTTGCTTAGTTCTCTCAATGATACGCGCGAAACGATTATCAGAGGACATACAACTTCGACTCTGTCTGAAAACCATACTCGGAGAACTTCTGTGCGTAGATGACTCCGCCTTCGAGCGGGTCCTCAAGATAATCATACAAGAAGGGTCCCCACACGCGTGAGACCCACTTCGGCTGGCGGAATTTCTCCGCTTACTACTTCCGCCACTACGAAATCCCCATGGTGCTCATGATGATTCTGCAGACTCTGGTGAGAATGAGATCCCCCTCAGAGGGGCATTTCATTCGCTCGCACTAGGCGTGCGACCTGGAGCATACGCAGGCCCACCATGTATCGAAGACATTAAAGGAAAGTTCGCCGCTGCCCGGTTCATGCGTTGGATGGATTTCACTACACTCTCCTTCTGCCGAATCTACCCGTTGTCGGTAATGTCGTAATGAGTGAATGAACGTATCGGATCAATGTAGGTGGTGGAGTATATTTGCATCTATTAGACACCATTTGCGAGCTCGCAGAGATATTTCTCCGAAGAAATTCCCCAATTTCGGTGACGGTATGACGTCGTTCGTTAACAGCGATTCTGTCGAGAAAAACTTCCCAGCATTACTCCGATGACTTTGTGCGCGAAGCATGAGATCAGCTGAATTGATCCTCGACGATGCGAATGACAATGTCAGAATGGAGGCTCCGCGCCGATAGGTCTTGTGATTCTAGTCCCTGGTGTCGCCGAATTTTCTTACTCGCTTCTCTCACGAGCTATCGGGGTTTCACTCAGTCTAAACTTTAGACTCTAAAGTCTGTCTATCCGATTTTTAATGACCATCTGTCCGACAACTTCGATGGAGAATTCCAATCAGCTCCCAGACAGACTTCATGTATCGTATATCTTCAGAACGGAGCCCTTGCATCTCCTGACCTGCTATCTCATTCGGGTTCGCTCATCGCTCCCATGCTAATTCTGAATCTCTGGCACCAAGCTACGATGATGAATTTATACTGAGTGGGCGCGATGTCGAATCCGTGCGTATCTGTCGGGTGTGCGGTGTGTGGACGAGCATAATGATCCCATGATATTTCTTGTCGAGAGCTAGAATTCCTCACGATGAATTGAGTTCCTTGGGACGCATTTCCGATGATCGTGAAAAGAGCAGTCGAAATTTGTGTGGGGAACTTGTTTTTATTTGACGATGAAATAAAGTTTGTGATCAAGTGATATAGTCGGATCGTACCGAGGCCCGGATCGTACGCGAACCATTGCGAGAGATACGATCAGATTTCTGTATGAGGTCAGCAGCTATCACAATCTGTGGAAAAGATCGAATATTTCGCTAACCCCAATTTCATCTCGCACCCTAAATGCACCTACCAGATGTACACATGCATGCTGGTCGGGAAAGGAGAATGCTCGAAACGGAGCGAATCGAATATCAATATGATAAGTGTTCGCTGCGATCGTTCGATTGCTTAGAGCTCGGAACGTTCCGATATTGGCTCAGCGTATATCCCAGAGCGAGATCAGGATCGAAAAGGGAAAAATTATGAGCCTTCTTGCTCTAGCAGACCTCGTAGAGCGGCGTTCAGTGAGCAAGAACGCTTCTGAAAAATCTGCGATGCGGAGACGTGGCAAAAAAATTCTGTCCTCATGGAAAGGATGCGATGTCCTCCCCCGGTAAATCTAGCGTGATTTATTTTCACTTCAGATCATCAAGGAGGAGAGTTTTATAGCACCCCGTATTACCGCAGAAGAGCTGCATCGCTTTAATTCGGGAATGAGGGGCGCAATTTCAGAGATGAACCACAGACGCCAAAGATTCTTGTGGGCTGATTAAGTCAGAACGTAAGACGAACAGAAGTCAGCGCACTGTGCAATCGGCCGTTTTCATTTTGCACGTTTTAATCCACGACGATCAGAATGAGTCGACGTGGGAATGAGTACCAGTGCGTACTACAGATTATTCAGTCTCGTGGGACCGCGAGGTTTTGTCGCAAGTTTCAAAGACCCGTACAACAAATATATCATAAGGGATCTGCTATCGAGCGTCGCTCTAGCGATATCCGAGAACTGAGGCTCTGAACAAAAGGAGACCGAACCAGCATCTCATCACGCACGCAAACTCAAGGACAATTGTGTGTGTCACTGGATTGAAGTGATCGTTCGCCGTGCAGAGGAAAAACGATTTTCTGGTCCAGTTCTGATTTCACGGGTCCATTGATATACGCAACCAGAGAAGTGAATGGGAGCATATGCTATTAACCCGTCGCTGAAAGAGCCATACACGCAGATTCATCAAGAGTGGATGATATGTATTTATATCCATCGATGACTGTCCGAGATTTGGTAAGAACCGTGACCGATTCGCAGACGTCACGATATCTGCTTAACCTCGCTACCGTTTCGCATTCTCATATGCCGCTCAGCATCTGTCGGGTGACTGCTCGGGAATGTAGAATGCTAGTCTCGCGGGACGACAGCTCGCGGATAATTCTCATCAGATTCATTGCTGGGTAGTGTCCAACTGAATAAGACACAGACTGAACAGATCAGTATGCGATGATGTCGGTTGGTTTGTATAGCGCTCCTATGGACCTCGGGGAACCTATTTTCAGGGTTCATAGAGGAACGAAGGAGCGCCAACTCTTCTGCGGCATCCTGTTCGAAAGCCGGTAAATCTCGAAAACGAAGGCTATAATCGAGATCTGCTAGGCCTTCATTGGTATCGCGAAGTATTGAAATACGAATTCCATCACGGAATGCCGTACTTTTTCGCCTCGCTTTCCAAGCTCAGAGATTCGATCTCGTTGTATATGGGAATGTACTCCACCGCAGCGGCGAGCACTAGTCAAGAGTGGCTCGCCAAATGCTACGGTTGGAATTGATTTTGCAAGGCATTAAATTGGCACAAGTTATGGTTCAGGACTTGTCACAGAGTGCACCTTGCTAAGAAGATCTATCGCTCATTATAATGATTGGTGATGATCTTGTCGATCCATGGTATAACTTGATAAGATACACCAATCAAGCATATTAGTGAATCTTTAAATTTCGCAGATGTCGCAATAGGAGTTCCCCTCAGAGGAGGAAAACGCCGTTGTGTGACCTGCCAACACAGCGCCATCGAAGACCATTTCAACGAGCAGGCTCCCCGCCGGATCGTATACATAGCTATCTAGAGAAGAGGACGCAGCTGATTCCAGTTTGAACTCCTTTATTCAAAGTCGTCCAACCTTTCAAACGACGTATCCGAGCTTAGCCAATTCAGCCTGGAGGGGCGCGATCTCTTTCGATAGCTGTTGTTTTGCCTGTTTCTTCGTTTTCTGCAAGCGGAAAAGTCGGCTGCATCAGACCCTCTCATCGGGCACGATGAAGAAGAAGTTTGATAGGATACGAGCAGATGGGAAATGAATATTACTAGGGATTGTCGAGCGCTTAATGTAGTAATCGTTAACGATAACGGAACTTGTACACCGCCCAAGAGTCGTTTTGCACCCGTAAATTCCACAAAATACGACGTATCGCAGAGCATGGATCAAAATGGTGCGAGCAGGAAGGGGGATGCGCAGAGTGACTCACCTTCTCGAGCTTGATCAATTTGTATCGGAGATATCCCTTGACCTTACGCTTGGCTTCGAGGCTCTCAACAACGTCCGAGTACTTCCAACCGACTTCGGAGCTCAGCCGACCCAACTGGCAGATCTTTCTGCGAGGGTTCGACCGGACAACCTTGAGGGCGGCGGGGACGACCATCCTCTTCTTGACATCGTACTTGGGGGGAATTCCCTCAAAGCACTTCAAAAAGCTGAGAGCTTTCTGACCTCGCGCGGTCTTGTGCGGCAGCATACCACGAACGGTCCGCCAGAAGATTCGAGACGGAGCACGGAAGTGGAACGGTCCTCTCGTCGGGTTAACATTGCATCGCTTCTTCAAGAAAGACAGATACTTGAGTTTGTTTCTGAACAGGCCGCCCGAGATGACAAGGCTCTCGCAACGAACCACGACGACTTTTTGGCCTGAAAACGGAGGAGACTCGCTTTAGATCGAAGCTGGTGCATCGGCATCGACCGGAGGGGATATCGAGATGATTGTCCACGCTTTCACATGCAAACGACCCTTCAGGCAAAGCCGGCGGTCGAATGACTCCAGTGAGGAGCGGGTTCTGCTATTGCAAGGTCCTAGAGGTCCAGCATAGTGATTCGTGCAGTCCCAAGATAACTTGCTGGGGGAAGTTCCCCCGACGATATCACTGATGTCGTTATCAACCGAGCACTGACAACGCTATATCGGAAGTCGGATGGAAAGCTATCCACTATTCGACGGATGCATGTCATGAGATCGGAGGCTTCGATTTCAACGCTGGTAACTTACCGGTGAGCAGGGTTTTCGCCACCAAGGACGCGAGACGGCCAAGGAGGTGACCCTTGCCGTCGATCACCACGGGCTATTCGGAAAGACAAAAATCGATTATTAGTCGGGCCTGCTCCACGTGTATGCCGCTTGCGGCTACCGGCTCGGGTGAAACGGGCGCAACTTCATATCGCAGCGTCCATCTGGCTTCTTCGGCAAGTTTTTTCGGACCCTCGTGGGGATCCCACCCAGGGGATATCTCTATTCGAGATCGAAACCGATCGGAGAACGCCAAAAAACGAATCGTCCACGTGAGCACGCTGAGCACATGTTGGGAACAAATAATGCAATTTTCACTGAACCGGAGGCTTTTTTAGCACGAGTAGATTCACACAACTCTCCGCTGGGTGGGCCTACTACATTCCAGATGGACACGGACAGTGAACTCCGGGAGAAAGCACTGAATTCGGTGAAATTCCTTACCGCCTCGGTGAAACCTGGCATTGTCGGATGAAAAGACTTGGCCGAGGCCTAACGCACACAGCCATAGGGATCCTGCGATTACAGCGCCAGCAGCGGCTGCCAGGCGGTCGTCGACGATCCTTCATGGCGCGAGAATTCGATTTCGAGTGGCAACTACTCTGGGAAACAATGTTGCGATACATTGTCAAAGATAGTGAACGGAGGATCTTGTCAGACTTATAGAGAATCGACTGATCGGCGGTTCTGGATGCCTCGACGAGAGGGTCTCCGACTTCAGCCGTACAATCGAGATTTTTTGTTTCTTCATGGTCGCACGGACTCAAATTCACATGCTTGTGGATTCGGCATGGTACATAATCGAAGTCATCGCCTCCTCAACGAACAGATCAAAGTGACGAAAAATTGACGGGTTTATCCCGCTGAATCCTCCGTGTTGCTTCGTGTTTCATCTGATTGATCTTTTTTGTTCTTTTTCCCGTTTCTCTTTCCTTCTTGGTTCACGCTTCTCGATGGCCCCTTGTTGAGCCCTCAGTCAGGTGAATCACGCGAAGTAGCGGGAGATCAGAGGATTGGATTTTCCCCCATCGCGAAATGATTCGCTGCATAAGTGTAATACTGCAGTATTCCCGTCTATACTCTTTTCGATCTTGGGCACCAGCCTCGATACGACGTCGGTATACGCCTCTTTCGAGCAATCGGGGATAATCTCATCAGAAGGTTGTATCTATGATCGAATCCCGGGAAATGAGGCCATAGGGGTCTGGATACCTGCGTTCAGGAAGATTCGGAGCATGAGAGGTAGCGCAGGAATTGAGAAAAAATCATAAAATCAAAAGCAGCATTAATTCCCACCTCGGCGGCACTGGGCACCCGCGGTCTATAGTTGATGGCTTCCAAGAAGTCTTGTCTCCGCTCATCTGCCGTTTTCTGAGGAGTCTTCTCTGTCGTTTCCGGTCTTTGAGTAGGATCTTGTTCCGGCGCGAGAGAAAGTTCCTGCGACGCAGCTATCTCGGAGGGGTCCAAGCAGCTTCTTGCGAGAGAAGAGCCGCGAGGCAACGGGGCTCTGCTGAAGCGCCCCAGCGGTTGTGACCCGGGGCCAAGCAACTGTTGGGACGAGCTCTTGAAGGTGCTCGGTAATGAGAGATCTTCAATCGGGGGTTGTTGGAGACTCAGTCGGACCACTGCATTTTCCGAGGCGAAGTTCTCGACGGCCGCGGCGCTCGGCTTGTCGTCCCCTTCAGCGCGATCGTTTTCGGCTCGAGAGGCAGCCAGCCGAGAGGGGGTCATTATTAGGTCATACAATTTCTGTATGAGTTCGTCTGATCGCGAAGATCCCCTTTCTTTCAGCTTGGAGCGTCTCGCGATCCGTGTCTCCGCGCAAATGCTTGAAGTTCTCATTTGGAGTCGATTCTCTCCACGAAGGCCGCTCCCTGAAGCCTGGGACAGGGTTTCGACGTTCATTCTGGCCAGTTTCGCGGAACACTCCTCTCTGACAGAATTCAACCATTTCAGACCTCTCTCCATAAGGTTGTCTAGTGGGCCCAGGACGCTCTTGCTCCGGTTTTCAGTTTCTCGATCGTCGGAGTCGAGAGCCGGCAGATCCGTCTGCGAAGCCGTAGCGATCGAAACACCTGAGGGATTGGAGTCATTCGTTGTAGGGAGGTTCTGAGCGCAAGGAGTGTTCCTAATTCAGCGCATAGAATCGCTTATGTCGTACCGGAGCTTCGGTGGGATGTTGTCCCACCGGCTGCTGCGGTCTCATCGACCAACGACGGCAGAGTTCTGGCTCTGTTTGACGCCGCTTGCTCCCTCAAGAAACGCTCGACGGGCGGCAGAAGTCGCCCATTCTGGGAGGCTGATTTTATCTGATCCTCTCTCGAGCCCGACGTCTCGTTCGAGGATCCTGCGCTTCGTCTCTTTGTCGTAGAGAAAATTTTAAGAGAGCGATCGACTCTCCGTGATGTTCCGCGGCATTCCTGCGGCTGGGGGGCAGTTTTCGCTGCAGCAGCGAGCTTCCTGCTCTGATGCTCCAGGATCTCTCGCCAATCTTCTGAATTCTCCAGCATTCCATGATCCTCCATTCCCTGAAGGAGTCTTCGAGCGGCTTCCTGGAAGCCTGATGACGAGAGCTGATTTGTCGATTCCAATCCCTTCAGCTCCAACGGGGGTAGCGCTTTAGGTAACTCGAGTCCCGTCGTTGATGATGCCCATGGAGGGCAGGGAAGAGTCCATGATCCCTTGCGTTCCCCACCTCTCGGTGTCCTTTCAACCTTCTTGTGCGCATCATGCTTCTTGGGAATCCGCGGATGAATGCTGAAGGACTCGCTAGAAAGTTCTGAAACCAAACCTTGAGTAGTGTAAATCGGAAAGTCTCTCGATCGTATGGGAGGCTCCCGGTCGACTCAGTCTCGACAAAGTGTGAGTCACCAGAAGAATCCATCTCATTCTGCTGCTTCGACGTCTCCTCCTTTTCGCCCTCCTCCCGGAAACAAACCTCACTCTCACTGGTGAGATTCATTTTCGTTGTCGTTGGAGTACTCTGCAGAGCCCTGTCGAAAAGGTCGCGTGGATTCCATTCTCAGACAGGGTTCCACGTGTTCCTGCTATACAGGCCCCCTAAAGAATATGGAATCACAAGTTTTGTGCTCGATCTCCCCTATTAGGCGACTACTCTCTTCGCTTTATGGAAGTTCATCGCGATTGGAGTGGGGGGGGGGGTTGTGGAGAATACCTCGCTGATATCTCGAACGGGTCACCGTGCATTATATTTCCTTAGACGATTCCCTAGAACGACTCAGCTACGAATGGAGATCGAGCTCTCTCCCCCAGAGCCCCGTTCGTACCATACTTGCCACGGCTTATTGATATCCTCTGATTTCGATGTTAGCTGCCATTGCCACACGCAAATATCGAGCTGATGTGAGTTGATTCACGACCGACACTAAGACTTGAGATCTTCCGAAGTCTTTCCGGATCAACATTATATTTCGGTCGTATGCTCCATGAAATCTTGGCTGCAGGATGCTGAACGAGAAATGAGACGCCCCGAAGCGTATAGGGGGCTTCGGGAGGGGATAAGGTAGACACTCTTTTTATTTGTACAGGTTTTCACAAATAACAATTCCAAACAGATGGAGATTGATCCTTCAGTCGAATAAGTCGGCGTCACCTTGGTGGTGTTGTACGCTCAGCGCATTCTCCGCCGCCTTCAACTTCATCTTGATTTCCACAGGATCCACATCGAGCAGAAATTTCGGATTTTTCAAGAGGAACTTCTTGAAGAATACCAACAATCCATCTCTCAAGAGCTCGAGCTTCGGTCCAGCGAGAGCAACTTTCGAAAAAATGCTCGTGATCTCTTCGTCGTCTAGCGTTCCCAGGACATCCAGGAGAAAACACCTGCCGGGATTCCGACTCGTCTACACTCAAACCGAAGGGGAACATCTTCCGCTGCTCGAGAGAAGAATGAATTTTTCTTCGACCTAGTTGGATAAGAAGTACTAACCTCAAGAAGGCGATCACTTTATCATTAGACAAATCGACAAACTCGATGTTCTTGAGGACCGTGAGCGGAAGACCCTTCTTGCACACGAGCATCGAAGTGAAAAGAGCGAGGAACCTCACTTTCGCTACCGTGTAGGAATCGATTGACTTGATGAAGTCCCAGATGGCACACTGGAGGGTCATCGAGAACACCTGCGAGAAAGATTTTGAGGTTCCTTCAGCAACGTCTGTAATCTGTACGAATCGCCCCGTCTGTCCCAGCAACTATTCGAACCTCACCTTCCTATTCTTCTTGCAGAAAAATAAGGCCAGGTGAGCGTAGAAGGGGTTGAACTGCTTTTCCTTCGCCGTACAAAGTAAGAGTACGTAACAGAACTCCCGTTGTTGGATCGGTGTCAAGTTCAGGCGCAGTATCCGCTCGCTCGCGTCGATATAGTCCTGAGCCGACATAATAATGCAGAAAATCGAACGCCGGATATCCGTGTTCATCCCAGCTTTGGCAGCCAGCTCCAGAATTCTAGAGCTGACTTCTTCTCCCGCCGGACGTGATGTATCCTTCGAGACCTCAGCCTTCGGACGTGAATCATCCTCGTCCGCCCAAGCCGACCCAACCAGCCACCATTTTCCGCGGATCCTTGCGTTGTACAGATCCTCGAGCGACACATTCAGCTCGTGAATCACCGCGCCCTTGTTCAAGCACGCTTTCAGAGACTTGAATGCCCGGTCGCTCGTGGAGGGATCGCAATTGGAAATTTTCGAGATATTGTTGTTCTTCAAAGCCATAAGGGTATCCAGCATGAAGCGATGACGATTGGACGACGAGCCCTTGCATTTTGCTTGTATTGAGACAATCAACTCCTTGAGAGCCAACGGATCACATCTTCGGAGTGCGAATCCACACGTTTTCAATATCGTCTGTAGATCGAAGAGGAATCGAAATGAAGCGGAAGAATCTCAGGTACAGGATGACTGCGCGATAGTCTGAGAGAGCCTCACCATTATGTAGTCCACATCGCGCTCGTCGACTGGGTCGAACTTCTTCACAATATCGTAGATGATCCCGTGAGTGACAACTTTGAAGAGGAAGAGATAGCAGAGGAATTTAAGGATGTTCTCCATTTGTTTCCCGGTGCTTTGCGATTCCAGCAAAGACTTGAACCTGGGGAGGATTACCGTAGCTTAGAATTTTCTCCGAACAACCCTTTCGATTTCGAAATTCACTCACCGGCTCAAGCGCGGAAGACACGTGAGTGAGCGTGCTTCCGAAACGGTAAACCTCCGATCTGGGCTCACCTGTCGATGACATCTTCGAGTATTTGAGCACCCACTTCCTGACCGATGTTTCCGTGCAGGAGAGAACAGAGGAGGGCCGGTTCCAGTATAAGTCGCTCCGGAGTAGCACTAAGGCCGAAAACGGCGTCGCCTATAGCGACACTCAGCGTCGAAGTGACGTTGTTCTTCGAATGCTTCGAGTACAGTTCAACCATTTGCTGAGAGATAAGCCTCAAATTCGTTTCACTCAATCGATTCAGTAGCCCTGTAGATGAAGCGTACAAATAAAATAAATTACAACGGCATGATGAATTTCAAAGATATGAGGTGAAATCGCCGATTCTCTTATCGGAGAATACCTTTCACTTGCTTCTGAAGTTTCTCCAATTGCAGGTCATTAGAGAGTTCGAGTCGCCTCGCTGGTGGGACATATTTTTGAGCTTCGGTCGAAACGACCTCCCCACCTGCATTGCGTTTTCGTCCATAGATATCCTCGTAACTCCCGTCGGCTCCTATTTTATTCCTCTTCCGAATGAAATCGTCAGCTTCTTCCTCTTGGGGAATATCTTCCCCGTGAACCGCCGAATCTTCGTCGCTCTCGCCACCCTCACCATCCTCTTGTTCCTCGTCGCCTTCGTCAGCCTCGACATCAGAGTCCTGCTCATGATCGTCGTCTTCCTCCGCGAAATCGGTGTTCCTGGTTGTGGATTCGTCTCTCGATGCGGGCCGCTTGGCGGGATTGCCCCCGACCCTTTTCAATGCTTTTAGTTCAGCCATGACGCTCGCTGCGCTTTCGTCTTCGCGCTCGGAACTTTCAATTTCCTCATTTTCGGAATCCTGCTCATCAACGTTCAGGTCCATTGATTCCGCTTCATCGTCATCGCTGCCATCCTCGGTATCCTCATCAATATCCTCATCTTGATCCATTTCTTCATCGAACTCCCCGTCAAAGTCACTGGCGTCCTCCGCTTCGTCACTCATTTCTTCATCTTCATCCTCTTTCGGCTGCTCGGCAAACCTGATCTTCCTCCTACGCTCGTTCTCCTGGGTGAAGTCGTCAGAATCTCGAGTACTGTCTTCATCGCTCCCAGGATTTTCCCTGGTCTTTTGCTTCATGAAAGCGTTCTTGAGCTCCCCCTCGGCTCCCTCCAGCAGTTCCATATCGTCGTTGTATTGTTTTTTGTATTTCTTATCGACTACTTCGAGGATGAAATCGAGTCCTTCCTCCACGAACGATTTCGGCATGTTATTGTTTTTCCGTTTGTTTAGATAGAGCATCTTTTCGAGACGGCTGATCTCCTTGTCCTCCTCCTCATTCTCCCGCTTCAGACGAGCAACTCGGTCTTCGAATGACTCCTTGAGTTCTTCCTGAATGTTTTCTTCCTTGCCACTGTAAGCCCTCTCCTGAAAGGTTCGGAGGATATCTCAGTTTCAGGAATTTCCCTGCTCCGGATCGGATTCTGTAAAGAAAAATTGTCCATTGCGAGTTTGGAAATTTTGGAAGTACTTACCAGCCTATCGCCAAGATCTTCGTCGCTAGAATCGACCTCCTCGGAGTTTTGGTGTTTACTCTGGCTCGCCGAGGCTCGGGGCTGCTCAGAATCCTTGAATATATCGAGCTTGGAGAAAATTCTATTCATCTGTCCATTGATTCCACTCATGTTCGTTCGGTGCTTTTGAATCTTCCCGCTGGGTTCACCCCGAGCAGAATTCTGCCACTGCAGATATTTAACAGATTGCGCATGCTTCTTCTGTTTCTTAAGCTGCTTGTGGTCCTTGCGAGAGCTTTTCCGGAACTTCATGCTGACACTTCTCTTCGAAGACACTCCAGGTTCAGTAACATGAGATCAGAACTCCCGGCCACAGTAAGAGCTGATTGGAGCGTGTCTCCACCGTTGAGGCAACTCGAAGTGATTCCAAAGTAATCACTCGTCACGTTCGAAAGCCACCAATATGAGCACACTGAAGGATTTCACGAGGTTCCGATGTTCCTTCGATTTTCGAATACTTTCAGTATCCCCCTTTCTCTCTCTGGCCATGTGCGCCGTGTGTTCATGCAGGAATGATGACAATGATCCTTTCGGGCGCGAGCCGTACAGCCGGGCGATTTTTTCGCGCAAGCGGAGGATCATGGGAATCGATCATCGCGAAAACTGACTGAGCCACATCCGAAGTTTGTAAGTTCGATCCGTGAGCGGGAGCGGACTGAGTCAGTCGTCGGGGTCGTATCAATGAATAGACGCGTGGGGTCGCATACCCGGGACTTCATTTAGAACACGAAAGAACCGTTGTATCCCTCCAAAATGTTAGGAGGGGCTCTGCGCGGCAATCATGGTCCTCTTCTGACCACGAGACTCTCCAAGCCCCGAGCATTAGAATCCCTATCGCGTAGAACCTCGACGATATCCTCGAGCGAGTGATTCGCCATTCCTAAACCAGGAGCCGCAACTTCGACTCAAGGAGAACATCTGAATGTTTAGTCGCGCCCTGACAAATGATCGATGGGGGCTCTCGTCTCGCACGCTCCGAGACGAGGACCCTGCGCGCGAGATTCGGCAAGGATTTCAAAGCAGAGAAGTATGAACTTCGCAGGATCCGGTTGACGGCGAGTGTCCTCGTCTTTTGGGCTGTCACGTGCCGATCTGAGCGCGTTCCGCGGCAACCGATATCGTTTCGGAGCTCGGACTCGGATCAGTTTGGGCTCGTGAGGATTACTCGAGATGAATCATTGATCGAGCCTCGGGTCGAGTCCTCACACGGTATCGAAGGAAGCGATACTTGCGACTTGCGAGACGCATTGCGTGCATCGAAACGATCCATCTTGGGAGACCGCGATTGATTGAGTACCGTATTGCCGTGGAGCCAAGGGGAGACCAATGGGCTTCTCTGACTCAATAACACAACATTTTATTTTATTACAGAAATACCTTTCTTAAATGAAAACGAGACCGGGCAACTAGCTAAACTTCATGTCAAACTACCGTCCTTCGGGGATGTTTCATTTAGGGACGTGATCTTGCTCGCCTTTCTGGCATGGATCTCCAATTTTCACTGCGTGTAGTGCATAATTTATGCAATCCATTCCGAACCACGTCCAGTAGCCTCCAATCGGATGGTACATCATTCCTGTAAGTCGATTGCATGTGTGAGATTTCTCGGATGCTTCCCGAATCAACAGGCTGGAATTAGAAGACTCTGCCCACCTTTGACCTCTGAGACGGCGCAGCCATGTTTTGCGAGCTTCAACTGTAGCTCTTCGGGCGTCACGAACATTTGCCAGTCGTGCAGTCCGCGAGGGACTAGGTGTACGATGTACTCAGCGCCTATCTTCGCCACGAGTAGCGATAGAAGTGTTCGGTTTATCGTGGTAAAGAACAAATGACCATGTGGCTGAAAAGCGTTCTGGCCTCAGTCGGGAGTTCCGGAGCTTCTCATACCCAGAAGCAGGAACCGAGAATTCCGATCGAAGGAAAAAAAGACAATCGATCTACCTTGACGACTCGTGAACAGTTTCGGATGAACTCATCAAGATCCTCCACATGTTCGACGACTTCGGAAGCTACAAGGGCATCGTACTGCTCCCCGATCTGATGAAAACTCAACGTTTTAGCGGTATGCTCATAGAAAGGGGGAAACCTCGACCTGATTCTAGCCGAATGTTTCGATACGGCTCCCTCGCCGATCGACAGACGAAATCGGAAAGATCGAGACTTCACACGTCGATATCGTGAATGGACACTCGAATGCTTCTTACGTCTTTAATATCCCCGCAGATATAATTGATTCGATCTCTGATTGACGGGTCTCGGCTTGCATGATCCTTAGCAGCAGCGATGTTCGACGGAACGATGTCCAGACCGGTCACATTGGCTCCCAAACGAGCGAGAGGCTGGAGATCCGACAGAAATTCCAATCACACAACTAGCTCAAGGATCCGTCCGCTAGATTATGGACGAACCGAATGACAAGGGGAATACCTCTGACAGCAGACCTCCGCCACAGCCCACATCGATTATGGAGAAACCTTTCAGAGTACTCGCAGGGTCTTCTAACTTTCTGTGACCTCGAAGTTTGTCTGTGATGAGCGGTACTCGGAGCTCATTCATGCGAGAGAGGACCTAGAAAAGAAAAATCCCTCAGACTTTGGAACGATTCCCTCAGCGTGGTTTGAATTGCCTTACGCTGCTCAGTCTTGCGCGTCGGAAGATTCCCAGAAAAGTAATATCACCTCGAATTCGCCTCTAGGAATCCACCATTGGTCTCTCAGTTTGGAGAAATCTCGCTCATTCTTCTTCACGGTGTCCGATGCAGGAGCGCTCGGAGCTTCTTTCTGTAGGAAGAATGACGATAGAGGTTTCATCGAACCTTTCCGTGGAAATTCCGGCGTCTTTCTCTGTATGACTGACATGATAGCTTACAACTTGTGAGGACAGCGGCCGACTAGAGTCCAACAATACTCGGCCGAGAACCCGGAGGAATCGACCCCGAGTCATCCTGACCCTCGAATTCTACGGTGAGAGCTGGAGATAAATGAAAGGTCCCCGTCAACAGACGCGGTATGACGAACCCTTCCTCGGTCCAAACAGAACTCTGTTTCTCTGACTCTCGATTCGAGAGGTAAGGATAGAGTTTCATCTCACGAGGTCACAGATGCGGAGTGAACTCAAGCTCGCGGTTCCTACAGCGTATGCGGTTTATTAGCATTGCAGTCAGAACACCAAAGCTTACGGTTATCAGAAGCAGATCATCGAGAGAAACCAAAGGCAGAAGATGTCTCCGGACTATGCACAGCGCGCGGGCGAGGGTGGAACTTGTACCCTTCTCTGTCTCGGAGTGTTTTCCTATCACTGTCGTTTCTGAGAGAGTATAGCACGGCACTACTTCTTCAGCAGTAGTGGGGACGAATGGCTTCTCTCTCTCATTCGCCTCATGCTGCACCCGGAAATCGCCCTTGGACCTACGGAGTTCCCCCCGGCTCAGCGCGATAAGTCGATCCTGCAAGCGCCCTCCGCTCTCTGTGAACTCGGAACTGGCCTCGAATCCGAGACAGAGCTCTACATTGGGGAGATTCGTATACGATCGGATGAAATCGGGACCTCTTATCAGCTGCGATGAGAGCAGCAGCCGGCAGCCTCTCGCCACCACCACCGAGCAAAGAGCAGATGACCAAGATATTCGTTATTCGAAGCTGTGCCACGTTCGTTTTCAGAACGTCCAGCAGTTGTCGGCTGATGACACTGACGTGGAAGTTGATCGAGTGAACGACTAGAACTGCTTCATTGGCGGTGCAGGAAGTGAGGAACTCCGTCGAAATGGCGCAGTACCAAACGTACGCGGACTTCATTCAACAGCAGGAAGATCGGGACGGTGTACGCCTTTCGTGGAACGTGTGGCCCTCGTCGAAAATCGATGCAACTCGACTAGTGGTTCCGGTTGGAGCTCTGTTCACTCCTCTGAAGGAACGAACAGATTTGCCGGCGATCCAATACGACCCCGTGCTGTGTACAAATCAGAAATGTCGAGCCATCCTCAATCCGCTCTGCCAGGTGGATTACCGGGCGAAATTATGGGTGTGCAATTTCTGTTTCCAGAGGAACCAGTTCCCTCCGCAATACGCGGCCATATCCGAACAACATCAGCCGGCGGAACTCATCCCGCAGTTCTCGACGCTAGAGTATACGATAAGTCGTGCACAGACGCTACCTCCGATTTTCATAATGGTCGTCGACACCTGTGTCGATGACGACGAGCTGACAGCCCTCAAAGAATCGCTGCAGATGTCGCTGTCACTTATGCCTCCGAACGCGCTCGTCGGCCTGATAACATACGACAAGATGGTTCATGTTCATGAGCTGCCGGCGAACTGTGTCGCCAGGAGTTACGTGTTCCGAGGGACGAAGGATATCGCTGCGAAGCAGATCCAGGACATGCTCGCCATCAACAAACCGATGGCCCAGCAAGGCCCTCAATCACAGCCCCAGGTCCGGCCTCCGGGTGCTCCCCCACCGATGGGACATCCCCAACAACAGGCACAGCAGCAACCGGCCGCACCGCCCGCAAGTCGATTCCTTCAGCCAGTCCAGAGCTGCGACATGGTCCTGACGGACCTTCTGGACTCTATAAAGAAAGATCCCTGGCCCGTGACGCAAGGCAAGAGACCTCTCCGAGCCACTGGAGTCGCCCTCTCGATTGCCGTAGGTCTGCTCGAGGCGGCGTACCCGAATACCGGTGCCCGTATCATGCTCTTCACTGGGGGAGCGTGCACCCAAGGTCCGGGCATGATCGTTTCCGAGGAACTGAAGATGACCATCCGGTCCCATCACGATATTCAGAAAGACAACGCGAAATACATGCGGAAAGCTCAGAAACACTACGAGGCTTTGGCGCAGAGGGCTTCCGCCAACGGGCACGCCATCGACATTTATTCGTGCGCCCTCGATCAGACAGGTCTGCATGAAATGAAGACGTGCGCGAATTTGACTGGAGGACACATGGTTCTGGGGGACTCTTTCAACTCGAGTCTCTTCAAACAGTCGTTCCAGAGAGTTTTCACCAGAGACTCGAAAGGAGAACTCAAAATGGGCCTGAACGCCGTCGTCGAAGTCAAGACCTCGAAGGAGCTCAAGATCTCTGGCGCTATCGGAAACTGCATTTCGATGAAATTGAAAAACTCCAACGTGTCCGACACCACCACCGGTCTCGGCGGAACCTGTCAGTGGAAGATCTGCTCCCTATCGCCGAGCAGTACGCTAGCCGTGTTCTTCGATGTCGCAAATCAACACAATAGCGGGATACCACAGGGTGGAAGAGGCTGCATCCAGTTCATCACGCAGTACCAACATCCCTCGGGTCAGAAGCGGGTGCGAGTGACCACGATCGCCCGTAACTGGGCCGATGCGACCACCAACATCCAGCATGTCACAGCTGGCTTCGATCAAGAAGCGAGCGCCGTACTCATGTCCCGTATCGCTTGCTTCAAAGCCGACGAGACCGAGGAGGGTCCCGACGTTGTGCGTTTCATCGATCGGACCCTCATCCGGCTATGTCAGAAGTTCGGGGACTTCCAGAAGGACAGCCCTGAAAGCTTTCGATTCCCCGATAACTTCTCGTTGTACCCTCAATTCATGTTCCACCTCCGTCGATCGCAGTTTCTGCAGGTCTTCAACAATTCACCCGACGAGACGTCATTCTACCGTCACATGTTGATGACCGAGGACCTCACGCAATCGTTGATCATGATCCAGCCTATTCTCTACGCATACTCTTTCCAAGGACCCCCGGAACCCGTGCTGCTGGATACGTCGTCGATTCAGCCCGATAGAATATTGCTGATGGACACGTTCTTCCAAATCGTCATATTCCACGGCGAGACCATCGCGCAATGGCGGAGAGCTAATTACCACAAATCACCCGAATACGAAAGCTTCCGGCAGCTGTTGCAAGCGCCGGAAGATGACGCTCAAGATATCCTGCAGAGTCGATTCCCGATGCCCCGATACATCGATTGCGACCAGGGCGGGTCCCAGGCTCGTTTCCTTCTCTCGAAGGTCAATCCTTCCGTGACGCACAACAATGCGTATTCCTGGAACGGTCAGGGTGAGGCCAACAGTGCGCCAGTGTTGACGGACGACGTCTCGCTACAAGTGTTTATGGAGCATCTCAAGAAGCTCGCGGTGACAGCTGCCAGTTAGCCGCTGCTAGAATATCCTTTTTAAGAAATCTTTAATTTTTGAAGATCATGGTGGCAATCAAAGTCGAATATTGATCGTATCCAGATGGTGATCCGTAAATTATAATAAATTTGTTCCCTGGACCTGAAAATGAAGATGAATATTTTATCCTCACACAAGGAAATCTGAATCGGAAGTCGGAGGGCACGTGAATCCAGAACAATCTCGTTGAGCAAAGATGGGCGCGGATAATTTCACGATGACGCTCCTCCGATCCTGAGCGGAATGCTCTCCTGGCGCTTCCGAGCTATTCTCGTCGAATTGGCGGTAGTTCCTTCGATAGGAGGTGTTAGGTGTCTGAACCCAACGGAATCGATAGTGAGAACTAATAGTCAGCGCGATAGCGCGCTTCAATATCCGACTAATGCTATGTCCATCCAATGCGACACTCTACAATAAATGTCATGTCAGTACGTCCACGACTCGCTGGTGACTGGTCGAGAATCCGCGGCGTATTCTTTCAATTGATAGGTTAGGCCAAGAACCTAACAAAGTGGCGACGAGGATTTCGAAACCCACTGCGGACGACCACAGAGTACCTGGAGAGCAGATCCTGCTGCCCAGCACAAAGCGAGGAAACAAGAAAATGCCCAACAACGGAAGCTCGGAGCCCAACGCGGCCGATGCAACCATGCCTCAGCGCCTGCCCATGTTCGAGAAGTTCGACCCAGAAGCTCAAAAATGGACAGCTTGGACGAAAAGACTCGAAAACTACTTCGAAATGCAGAAAGTGACGGAAAACAGGGTCAAGAGGAACGCGATTCTTTCGTTTTGCGGTGGCGCGGCCTACACGCTCCTCGAGGAGAAGATCTGTCCGGATAAATCGCCGAATGATCTCTCATATGAGGAAATAGTGAAGACGCTGAAGACAGCATACGAGCCCGCTCAGAATGTCTGGACGGCTCGGTTCAAGTTTCGTGAAATCGTGCAGCAGACTGCTGATTCATTGAATGACTTCGAGCGTAGGCTTCGACGCGCCGCAACTGACTGTGAGTGGACCGCAGAGACGCTGCAGCTTAACCTCATCGAACAGTTTCTAAATGGCATGAGTGACAAGAAACTGCGCGAGGCTGTTCTAGTGAAATGTGCAACCCTCCGGAATTTGACTGAGGTCGCAGTTGAAGCCCAAATCTTATATTCGATTCGTCAAGAGCCGATATCATCGTCGAATATTCATAAAGTGAGCAACCAATCCGTGAGAAGTTTTCAAAGACGGAAACCCTTTCATGGGAACCTGAATGGAAAACAGCACTTCAGAGCTCCGGAAGCCAAAAAGCCAACGTGCTACAGGTGTGGGAACTCATCCCATCTCGCTCCCGAGTGCCATCATAGGAACTCGCGCTGCTCGCTCTGCAACAAGATAGGCCATTTGCGAGTCGCCTGTAGGGGCACGCCGAAGAAAATCAATTTCTTAAGAGAGGAGACGTTCCATGCGATCGACTCTCGTTCGGGTAGAGCGCCGGTGAACATCACGTTGCAGATCGAGGGATACCCGGTTACCATGGAAGTCGACACCGGCACCGCTCTGTCTACGATATCGCTGAATAATTTCAACAAACTCTTCAAGAGCAGTCGACTTCTCCCGAACGATGTCCGCCTCCGACCTGCTGACGGTGATTCTATCGAGCCCATCGGTTACGCAGAGCTCGATGTGAAGTACGAGAACGTAGGGAAGAAGCTTCGTCTCTATGTAATAGATCGTCAGCATTTTCCGTCGCTCGTTGGACGCGAATGGCTGGCAGCTCTTCCTGTGCGGTGGCACGAGCTATTCAACTCGAATGGGTGGAATCTCAGCGGCTCAGAGAGTTCGGGTTCGCCTTCGCACCATATGGCAAGTAAGAAAGTGCATCATATCAAGGAACAGAATATGGAGAATGCAGCGAAAAATTTGCTGCAGAAGTACAAGAATCTAACGAAGCCGGGCCTCGGATGCATACCGAGCACCGAGGCGAAACTTGAATTAATGTCAGATAACCCGAAGCCGATCTTCGTACGTGCACGCCCAATCGCTCACGCAATTACCGATATGACCGAGAAAGAGCTCGAGTTCCTGGAAGAGAATGGAGTCATCGAGAAGCTAAATGCAAGCGAGTGGGCGCATCCGCTTGTCGTCGTACCTCGCGCGAAAGGAAAGAAAGTCCGATTGTGTGGGGATTTCAAGAGCGGCATTAATCGTTTCATCAAGACCGACGAACATCCTCTCAAGAATATCCGTCATGCCTTGGATAACATCGGTAACGGAGTGAAGTTTTCGAAGCTCGACATCCTGTCCGCCTTCCTCCACATGCCAGTAAGAGAATCGGATCGCAAGTATCTCGTAGTGAATACTCATCGAGGACTATATCAATTTAACCGAATGTCCAATGGACTCTGTAGCGCGCCGGCCATCTGGCAAAGGTTCATCGGAAGGGGTACTCGCAGGCATAAATTGAGTTGAGTGCGTGATGGACGACATCATCGTCACAGGCAAGACAGATCAGGAGCATCTCGAACGTTTGGAAGAGGTTCTTTCTCGACTGAACGATCAGGACATACGTCTGAACGTCGAGAAATGCCAGTTCTTCCAGGAATCGGTAACCTATTGTGGGTTCGTCCTGAAGCATCAGCAAATCCACAAATGCGATGACAAAGTTCAAGCAATAAAAGAAGCCCCTTCGCCGAAAACAGTCGGTGAGTTGAAGGCCTTCCTGGGACTTATTCAGTTCTACGCCGGTTTCGCACCTCGACTTGCAGACTTGGCAAACCCCATGTATCGACTGCTGAAAGCCGATGCCAGCTTCATTTGGTCGAAGGAAATGTCCGAGTCCTTCGCAGCCGTGAAGCGAGAGTTATGTTCGGACAGGGTTATCGTTCCTTTCGATCCGAAAAAGCCCGTGCTCCTGGCAACGGACGCATCTCCGACTGGGATATCAGCTGTTTTGTCGCATCGTTTCCCTGACGGGTCGGAACGGCCCATTGCATACTACTCAAGAGCATTGACCGACACGGAAAGGAAGTACTCCCAAATCCGACAAGGAAGCATTGGGAATCAGAACGGGAGTCGAGAAATTCTTCTACTATGTCTTCGGTCGAAAATTCACTCTCATATCCGACTCTCGACCTCTGGTGCAGATTTTCTCACCCCAAAGATCGCTTCCACCGCTTTCGGCAACTCGGATGCAGCATTATGCGATCTACTTGATGGGCTTTACGTTCGACATAATCTACCGCCGCACCGACAAGCATCAAAATGCTGATGCATTATCAAGACTACCGGCGAACAGCAAAGACTTTCACACAGAGGACGGCATCGAAAGTTTTCTAGTGAATCAACTTCAAGAGGTTCCCTTGAATTTCAAGGCGATTGCAAAGGAGAGCGGAAGATGCAAAGAACTTCGTCCGCTCTTCAGTGATCTAAGGCGGCAGGTGAATAGTTACATGTCGCCCCGATATTTTGGAATCGACTCTTGCGAGTTTTCGCTATATGAGGACGCAATCATCCTCCGAGGTCATCGGGTGGTAGTCCCGAAAACTTGCCGAAAAAACATCCTCGTTGAGCTACACGAAGGACACTACGGCGAACGTAAGATGAAGGAGCTCGCACGACGATATGTTTGGTGGCCGGACATCGATAAAGATATCAAGAACGTCGTTCTGTCTTGTAATGCATGCCTTGAACACGCTAGGAATCCACCTAAGGAGATTTTACATGCATGGCACCCATGCCAAACCCCTTTCGAGCGCATACATTTGGATTACGCGGGACCAATCGACGGAAAATACGTCCTGCTCATCGTAGACGCTTACAGCAAGTGGCTCGAAGCGTTCATTACGCAAGGGAAAACGAGTAAAGAAACGTTGAGGCACATTCGCGAGACGGTTTCCCGGTTCGGCTTACCTAAAGTAATGGTAACCGACAACGACCCAACATTTGCCTCCGATCTCATGAGGAACTTCTGTGAAAATAACGGAATTCGACTCATGCATTCACCTGCTTATCATCCTGCTTCGAATGGACAAGCAGAACGATTCGTCGCAACCTTAAAAAACGCCTTGAAGAAACTCTCGACGGAGGGAGGAGATATCCATACTAATTTGTGTCGGTTTTTGTTTCGACAAAGGATGGTGTCCAGCTCCACCGGAGAGAGCCCTTCATCGCGCATGATCGGAAGGGAGTTGCGCTCCAGATTGGACTTGTTACAGGAGGTTCCCCGAATTTCCGACAGGGCCGACGAGAAGGCGAAGTTCAGGGTTGGTGATCCGGTCATCGTCCGCGACTATAGATCTCGGAAGCCGAAATGGATCGCGGGCAAGGTCGTGAAGAATCATGGGACAAGGATATGTCGGGTGAGGGTTCCCCATGGTATATGGAATCGTCATTTTGAGCAGATCCGCCCCAGATCCGATCATGACCAACCGGTAACTGCAGAGCAAAGCTCAATTCTCGCCGCAGTGCTTTCAGTTCCCGAACAGCAGGATAGTCAACGACCGAGTTCGACAGCTCCACTAGGAGAGCAACCAGAACGATCTAAATCGATTGGGACCAGCGAAGGAAGCCCGACTATTCGAGAGCACTGCGTCACAGATGGTCCAACAACCGACTCCGATACTTCAGACGATTATGCCGATGCCGAGAATATTGCCGTTTCCCCTGATAAAGTACCCACTGCGCCAGTGGAAGTGCGTAGATCCCAGCGGAGCACCAGAGGCGCTCCGCCGGCTAGATTTCAACATTGAAATGACGTCGATGTCCCGTATTGTGTGTATAATGGAAAACCTATAGGGAGGGAGAGTTGTTAGGTGTCTGAACCCAACGGAATCGATAGTGAGAACTAATAGTCAGCGCGATAGCGCGCTTCAATATCCGACTAATGCTATGTCCATCCAATGCGACACTCTACAATAAATGTCATGTCAGTACGTCCACGACTCGCTGGTGACTGGTCGAGAATCCGCGGCGTATTCTTTCAATTGATAGGTTAGGCCAAGAACCTAACAGGAGGCGAAATCGTTTGCATGAACTCTACTTTTGGCCGCGGGCGAAGGCCCGACTCCGATCGCTCGCCATCAGACCAACCAATCTCGAAACGTCTATGGCGTATGGAATCGGGTATGTCACATGGAATCCTCATTTGTGGCAGAACTAGCCAGATCGGTCATCCCACGAGATAAAATACGGAGAACGAACTGCATTGCATTGCGCTCGCAACGTTCTCAACGAAGTTGCTCGCAAGCTCCTGATGTCTGTTGTGAGCGGTTGAACAAAACTTAGAATAGCAGAGATGCGGTGCGGGCTCCCGCTCCCTTGGTTCAAAGAGAAGCGCTCAGACACAGATCCTGCGTTTCGCTCGTGTGTGGGACGGACAAAGTCAAGCGACGGACGGAGCACGATAAGGGAGACTCGGGATATCCGAGCTGATTCTCTAACATCTCCCTTTTCTCCGATGTGACGTCGAAGAAGCGTGTTCCCAATAAAGTTTCTTCGAGCTTCCTCAAGTGGATGCCGCGCTCCGTGGTCATTCGAGTGCGGGATTCGGGATCGCGCGTGTGCTCGAATACTCCCCTGTCAGCAGTAGATCCAGTCAGCTGATTTGGAAGGTGTCCGTAATACTCGCGAGATTTCACGAGCACCGACAGCAGATCACCGGCACAGTGAGCTATTCGGTAAGATCGAGCATGTTGAGTTCAACTGATACTGTCCCTACCCAGTGTCCATATGTAATGCCAGCCATTTGAGCGACGACCCACCTGTTCGTTGCGATGCTCGGAGGCAGACCTCCGGCAAGATCTGTCACCCCTTCTCGTGATAACTCGGCTTCTAACCGGCTCAATTTTCCCTAAGAATGCGTGATGTTGGAGGTGAATCCTCTCTATTACGATGTGCCACAGGCGCATCTCGTGGCAGCTATTGATGCTCAACTCGAACAACTCGACAAAGCGGGGGCGATCATCTCCTCTTCCGTTCATTCGAGAGTGCACGAGTACAGAGCTCGTTTGGACGATCTCAGGAAAAGACTGCAAGTCGCGAGGAGGAAAATCGAGAAAATTGCCAAATCGAGAGAAGGCATAGTGGTGAGCTGAGCCAATCATGAAGTTCCCTCTGGAAAACACCGACGCTTCCGATTGGGAGCTGAAACTCCAGATCTATTGGAACTTCCCTCCCTGAGTTCGTCTTTGTCCTCTCACAGATATATTCTGCCGGGAGTTATCCGGTTCCTCGCGACAAGCAGGAAGAGAAATTCAAGCGTCTATTCCCATTGAGTCCCCTGGAACCTGCGAAGGAGCTCGGGGAAACTCATAGACCTCCAATTGTTTGTGAGTATTTCCTTCAAGTTCTCGTTGCGACGGAGGGATTTCGCCGAGAGATTCGTTCTCGTCGTCTCGGTGATTCAGGGTGCATTTCGTTCTCCAGCCTCTTCCTTGGGTGAAGGTCTCAGATTCCTCCATGTCAAACCGCCAACATCGAGCGAAGATGAAAATATCTACAAACTCCCGCCGAAGGGTCTTGGTAGCTTCCATAAAAGAGGAATACGGAATGTGGCTGACATACTCCTCTTCAACACCGCCATAAATCCGTGAGTTGATCATGACATGATCCATGAACGAGCCCTCGAGTTCTGGCGTCAAGGAACTCCGAATCACTGGAATTCTCGAGAGCTGTCTCAAACTCCTCAGGTACTCAGAAGAGCCGCCGACCCCGCAACGAACTCCACTCCCTGTCGAGGTCGCCACTCTGCCTCCATCGACCCTCGGATCTCCCCTCTCTTTTTCATCGAATGTCACGGAAGAGAACGTCGATGGCTTCCTGTACGATCCTGGCAAGCGGACGACTCCAGCTCTCGAGCTCCCTGCGAACCTGGTGCTTGGAGAAGAATTCGTCACGGATCTACCAGGTATGTCTCCGACCTCCTAAAAAAAATCTCCGGGGACGCACTCCCTTCTCCATCATCACATGATTCGAGTCGACACTCTCTCTTGCAGATCTTGTGGCTAGCGGATCGAGTCAATTCACGTTCGCAACTCCCTCCATCTTCTCCCCGTCGTCTTCGAACGATTCTTTCCAAGAACGACCAATTTCGAGCGATGTGGACAATCTACCCAGACTACCGAGCCCGGACGTCGACTCGGAGTTGGCGCTCCCTCAGGTGAGGTGCTCATGTTTTCTCAGTGGAACAGGGGCCCGTCGGATGATCGTATTCCAAACCGTTCCTTCCCCTTATTGCGGGAGATGAATTTATGAATATTTTTGTCCCCTAGATTCTCCCGTCTTCACCTCCGCCTGCTCAGACGCCAACCGCCGTGTCTGCGACTTCTCAGCTTCCACAGTTTTCTCCGCCTCCCCCACCCCCCATGCCGGTCGCGGCTCCCCCACCTCCACCTGCCGCTCCCGCCCCGCCTGCTCCACCGACACCTCAGAGCGGACCTGTGGCTCCATCACCGCCGAAGTCTGCACCGACTGGGGATCGTGGATCGCTCCTAGAATCCATCAGGAATCACGGAGGATTGAGCGGCTTGAGATCCGTGAGTCCGAATTTCAATTCGATATCTTCCTCCGGTCGCTCATAGAACGAATTATCTAGAGAAATTGGATCGCTCGTTTTGTTTCAACAGGCGAAGAAATCGACCAAGAAGATACCTCCGAAGAAAACCGTCCAGGCACCGAAGATGGATCATATGGAGGCGCTGAAACAGCGCTTACAACGCATCGGGGAGATTTCTGCGGGATCTCGCCCGAGGCCTGCTGAAATCGTACCACCTCCTCCCCAGCCAAAGAACGTTTTCGAAAAAATGTTGGAACAGGTGAAATCAAAAGATCTTGTTGGGTCGGATTCGGACGATACCGATAAAGACAAGGACGATAGTGATTGGGATGCTTAGACAGCAACGCTGATGAGGCAGGAGGACTCGATTGAACAACGTTTTAAATGTTATAATGATCCGATATGCATCTGTATCTGGGACGGTCCCTCTGAATGTGAGAAGGAGCCTGCGATTTACCTCGCCGGCTCCGTGGATCAACCCGCGACAACCCGTCCCGCGCGTTTAGAATATCTATCCGCCGTCGCTGAGTCGATTTCGGGAAATCGCGCGAAGAGGTTCCGAGCCTTGTTTCTGAATGTTCCTGTTAAGATAATGAATGCTCCCCAGGCTAGACTTGGAGCGAATAAAGTCGATATGCGCAGTACTTGGGTGAGTTCCCTGGACCGGAGGCCCACTAAGAATCCGTGCGAAACCAAAGGCAGATCTGGAACCACTGCTGTCAGTGCGACAGCGTGAGAGATACAGCGGGGAAGCGCCAACCATAAGATGTCGTTGGCGATCGATAGGGTCTGAATCTCGCGCGAGAAGCGGTCTTTCTGAGCTCCTTGACAGCTTATGAAGAGGGGGGACTGGGCGTCTCGAAGCTCAAGGAATTCGCGGCTATTCATGCAAACATCGAGATCAAAGATACGGGGTGTATGAAAATTCTCTTGGCGTGGCCGGAATCGATAATATAGATGTTCAGGAGTGTCTACCATCAACCGGTGAGGGAACCGTTGAACAACCGGGAATCTACGTCTGCCGCCTCTGCTACCCTGCTACTGGATGGAGACGACTTTCTGCGGGATCTGGGCGGGGTTGATATTTTCAGCGACGAATGAGGAAACTCAAAACTATAACGAGCTCTTTTTTAAGGCATATCGCCGCGATTTTTTATTCAAGCAGCTAGGTGGTTGGCGTTCGGTCCGCGTTTCCTTCCGAATGTGGCGACAACGTTAACGAATCGGCGGTTGTACTGCATCCGCCTCTTTGCGCGGCCGGTCTTCTTCTTCTTTTTCTCCTGCTTCTCGACTTTCGGGGTTTGTCCCTTGACCTTTCCGGCACGAGCCAGAGATCCGTGGACCTTTCCTGCAATGAGTTATTATTTAGATCGAGCAACCGACCGACCACTTGTGAGCTGGGCAAGGTATTTGACAATATTTGCATATCAACGAACCTCCGAGAAGTCCTACGGTAGCGTCAATGTATGATCCTTCAACAATGACATCCTTCAAGAGTTGCTCATCTTCCAGGCTCCGTCCGGCACGGGTTGCCAGAGTCAGCTCATTGGCGGCAACACCTTCGCGAGCCTGCACAAAACCCTTGAGGTCCGAAACGGTTTCGGTACCCTCAACGGTGAAAGCGTGAAGTTCCTGACACTGTACGAAGATTTGCATTGCGCTGAAAACAAGAAATCGCATCAATAGGAGGATTCTCTGAGCTCGCCCAAGGGATAGTTCTCCGTGGTCGAATGCTATTCCGGCCGAAACACGTGGCTCGAACACCGGCTCCGCAGCCGAAAAACGCAATCTGTGAGCGAGCCCAGCGCAACGACGAAAACAAGCCTCCGAATCCCGGAATACGTCGGCGAAAATTCAAGGGCTGTCGCGATCTCGCACGTAGATTCCGCTCAGCTAACCCGACACGGATCAAAGCCACCGTCGCAATTCGAACAGACTGCCGAGCTGGCGATTGTCAACAAAGTTCGAATGTTCTCGAAACCGCGTTTCGAACCACGGAACACGGGCCCGCCGCGAGTCGTCGATTCCGAGAGCAAGCCGACGCATCCAAAAACACACAATTTCGCGAAAAACTCAAAAACCACGGAAGCATCAGCGAAATCATTTACACCGAAGTGGATTTCGTCGGTTTCATCCGCTCGGGGCTGAGTAACCCGAACGATATCACGCACAATTTTTCCTATAGATCCGAGAGCTCCCTCCGGGACGAGATAAATTCACAGCACAGGAGATTTTTAATCAGGATTTAGCAAAAAAACGCTTACGAGTCTGACGGCGTGCGAGGCACACGATTGCAGAACCAAAAGGAAATCGAAACCAGTGTCGACTAAAGATGGCGGCTATCTTGGGAATCCCTCACTGGGCGTTGTTTTCTCGATGCCGCGACCCCCGGAACGTTTTATACTCACAAAAAGAGGGGTGAGGACCTGAACGGAGGTGTACGATCTCTTCTTGAGAGAATATCGCGGAGCAAGGGTGATTCCTCTCTCGGAATTCACGGACCCCTATAGAGCGGGGGTCTGCGTCATCCATTACAGCACGGGAGCGCACAGCCAGTCTCCGAGCTCAACAACGAGGGTTCGTCTCTCTCCTTAGAAGGTGTAACTAAGCGTGGTCTCTCGCCAGATTTTTTGATCCCGTTCGATGACGGGAATGAAAATCTGGAATCAGAAGGAGGGATAGCCCGATCGAAGCGACAGTAAAGATAATGAGTATCATTGTCAACAATCTCTCGCCGACATACTCCATCCTTGTAGCGGGCTTTGAATCAGCTGCGGATTCTGAGCTGCGAGCCTGCGGGAGGAGATTGGGTCACGGGACAGCTCAAGCTTCCAGATTTGACTCTAACGCTGTCCCGACATCGGGCAGACTCAGTCAGAGTATCGAAAAATTCGGAACCCGCGGCTGTCACCTGTCTTTAATTCAGGTCTTCAAGAGCTGAGTGGGATGCCGAGGCTGCCTTGAAGGCCATGTCGGCCTTGCGGAATCCGCGGAAATTGCGCATCGGCAGGCTCAATAAGCTCAAAACCTGAAACTATTATACTTTCTTTCGGAGATGATAATCGGGCTATATTCTCTATTATTTCCATGATTATTTTCATTGAAAATTGTAACTGTTACTATCGAGACATTTATACTTTGAATGGAGGCCGCATGCAGTGGTCGTCATTTGGTGGAGGACAGGGGCGTCGGTTCTAGAAGCCCGATCGCTCGCGGAGAACACTCAGGTCCATCGGTGTATAGAAAACTCCGTGAGCAGCACCGCGATTTCGCAGGGATGGGAAATGGTAGTGACCTTCGGAGCAAGCTTTAGTTTTGGGTTTCTCGCCAACTTTTTACCTCATCCTAAAAGCTTGAAAGCAGTACCTTGCGGGGTCGGCTAGGGAGTCCTGTACACATCATTACGAGCTTTGAATATTTTAAACGATAGATCGTAGAGATGAGGTGAAAGTGTCTCTCCCTCGTTCAGCGTGGGCTCCCTGAAAACAGTTATCCGGAATGGAGCGAGATCCAGGTCGCCGAAGGGGCTCGATGCAGATCATCGTCTAATCTGGCGGAGTTCCCCGGTGCCTCCGTCGGAGCCGTGGTCGAGGCCGTGGTTCAGTCAGTGGCGCATTCCTTGGGTTTGAGTTCGGGCGCTCCGGACTTAGCAACCTCCACACCGCTGGGACATAATCAGCAAGTGATCTCTTTCCGGTACAGCAAGAGGCGAAACTCGTCCTAGGGAGACGTCGATTTCGGACCGAAATCAGGAGCTGGGCTCACTCGTTTCAGATGTCGAAGTCAACTGGTGTATGGAGGTGATACGGTCTTCCGGTGATACGGAATTTTCCGTTGAAGGAAAAAGAGCATGAAGCAATAAAAAACCGTGTTTATGTATACTGTAAGCGTTCAAACCCGAAGGAGCGAAGGTACTACTGAATGATTTTCGTCCCTGATTTCATTGGAATTGCGGAACTGTTAATGCGTCCGAGTACATCGGGATACGATCTACCGATAGACAAATTGAGCAGAGAATCACCTCCTTATGGAGATATGTAATTAGTATCATCCATTCTGAGCTTTGTGTACCACGACCCGACATTTCGGGAGCGAACTAGAATTCACGGAGAATTCTCTGGCGTCTTAACAACCTATTTTCGCCGGGAAGCCAGGAACGGGCGACGTGGGATTTCGCGTCTCGACAAGCGCTTCTATGTCACCGAGTGCTCCGGGGGTTGAAATTCATTGCCACCAGATGTCCGACTCTCGAGAAGGAAACCTGGCAGGGAATTATTTCGTTTCTCCTTGCGATCAATGATGTTATGTTCTCGGATCGACAGTGGGAAGCTAGATCAATCAATAATGATATCTGAATAGGATGGTTCCTCGACTCGGATAATTTTTGAAGCGTTGGCAATGCCTTCTCGCAGAGAGCGCGGAATTCTAGATGAACGGAATCCCGTGTGAAATCAACTGAAGTCCAATATTCGGTCGTGTGAATGAGAGAGTATCTCGGATTCTGACTCTCGCATTCTTGACAGACGCGGACAACGAGGCGCATTCTTGTGAACCTCTCCTGGAAGTCTTATTTTGAGCAAGCTTGATGGCCCGTCATCGTTCGAGCTTCCGGTCTCCGTCGTTTTTGGAAAACCTTGCAAGACCTCTCTCTATCGAGGAGGCATCGACAGATTCTGATCGAGCAATGGCGGAAAATTCAATTGATCATGACCGTCAAGCTCTGCCCTCGAATCCTTGACAGTGAATACCCTCGATTGAAAATCGGTGGGTACTTACAACGAATAGATTCCAGTAAGGCGATTTTCTCTCCACCAGCGTTCGGATGACTGAGTGCGGACCCCTCTAACCTCGAAGCTGGGCAGAGAGGTTCGCACATCAACGGTCAGTTCGCGATCACCTCATCCACGTCGCCGAAAAAATGCGAAACTTTCAAACACATGATCTTATATTCACTCTAATTAATCAATAATGTATTGATTGTGTTTCTTGTTTTCACACGTTCTCTCCCGACAGTCTTGAACAATCTTGGTATCGAATGCTTCACACGCTCGAGAATCTCTCCCAGCTAGTGAAGGAGCAAGGTCCTCGGAACGGCACCTTGATGCACAGCAGTCAGGAGCTCCACGAGAACGAAACACAGATTTTCTACGGGACTCTGGCCTCGATATCGTCGTACGTCGACGTGGAACGGTACTCGGAAGGGAACGCGTACAACTTACAGCCAGCGAGCGAAACCGCCAACTCGTTGTTGTTGTTGTAGTCGTCGTCGACGAACCTGTCGTCGGCCGGAAAGCCCACCCCAATGACGCCACGGAGGAACAAACAGAAAGCTGCGCAGAAACTCCTTATTTCACAACTCATCCAGCACAAGACTCCGTCAACTGTGTATCGCGAGTCGTGACCCCTTTCAGCAATAATCTCTCCCGTCGTTGACCCTCGTGGGTTATTACTAGAGTTCCCACTTACCCGGACATGTCCTTGTCCGTCTTCTAGTCCGGTTTTCCGCATCTTTGTCCGGTTTTTGGTAATCGCCGATTCCGGAGGGGCTAGTCTTGGAATCCCGGTCTCAATTGATCCGTGCTGAACGCTCCCTGATTCCCCTAGGTCAAGGCTTTTCCTGAGCGTTTGCTCCTTCTCACGGAAACGAAGTCTCACTGAGATATGCGGATTCGCTCGGGGGCGAGCGCAGGCCCCATTGAAACGATTTCCACTTCTAGGGGCAGTTTACTGGTCTTGCAATCGATATCCGTTAAAGCGACTCTATGTATCGATTATGCTCTATACTCTCTTTCTCGAGTTTTCTCCAACCCCGCACGTATACTCGAAGCACAGACGTCAGCTCTGGACGCGTGTCGCTTCCGACACGCACGAATCTTCTCCCGTGTTGTAAGTATCGGCTGTCGTCGTCCGCCAGCTCGTCAACGAGGTTGAATGGTTCAACCTCGCTCTGGTTTCGAGAGTACCGGAGAGGTCGAAGCGCTCAATGCTGTCCGTGATTCCGGCAAGAAAATCCGCTTACCAATTAGGCGGAATTTTCGGAAGAGATCCGAATTTCGAGTATCTATCCAGAAGAGATCCGAATTTCGAGTATCTATCCAGATTGTCAGGAGAAGATGCAGATGTTTTCAAATATGCTGTTGTTTCGAATGCTGATGTTGAGCGATCTTTCTCCATGTACAAGAATCTTCTCTCGGATCGTCGCCATAGATTAACGCCCATAAATCTGAGAAGGCATCTTTCCGTTCAATTCAACTGCGATATCCTCCTAGATGAATAAAGTGACGAGTTGGATTTCTTCAATTATCTAACGCTCCTGATTCCGTTCTGGTCGTCAAACTTCAAGCGTCCGGTTTTTTGTCCGGTTCAGGCCTCGATGTCCGTCCGAAAAATGTCCGGTTTTTCCCGGATAAATGTCCGGGTAAATGGGAACTCTAGTTATTACGTATACGAGTGAGCCATTTCTCCCTCGAGTTCCGAGTTTCGAACCATGTGACTGAGGCCCCCGTATTCGGGGAGATGATTGTGGGGTTTTTTTCTCCTAGTGAAAAACGTCAAGCTCCGCGAGGCCCGAGAAGGATGATGGAGCCGGTACACGAGCGACGACTCTTTCTCGCTGAAGGCCCGAATGATCCCCGCCTTAGCCTTCGTCGTGCCAACTGGAATCGATAACGTGGTCTCTGAAGTCGCACCCGTGCTGCCCGCCCATCTGATCCCTGTCCTGAATTACTCGGAGACGTGTATATCGGACACCTCAACGGAATTCGGCCAGATGGAACTCTGGTCCGGAGGAGTCCGCAGTTTCCGATCGGGATGTGGTCGGTGTATCGGAGGGAGCTCGACGGGGAAGCTCGCACAAACGAGTCTGCGGAAGCAGCCCACCGCCGACCGAATGCAAACCGGATCAGGGGTGCAGCACATACGATCTGGAAAATTGTTGACCGATCGAAAAGAGTCCAGACAGATCGTGGCTCCCAAGTCGAGTCCTTCATCGCGGATAAGGAGGCTCCGAACAAACCGAGTGAAGACGTCAGGGCTGATGGAAAGCTTCTCGAAGTCGTTCGATACGCTGCTCACTTGACGCATGTCGAGTATCTTCGAGGCATCGCTCATAACTCCCTCATGGACGCGTGATCATCTGTGAACTTCTAACCCAGCGTCTCGAAAACGGAGAAATGCGATACCAACGAGAGTCCTCAAACACACATGTCACTCGCATCACATCCCTTCCGTAATTAATGACGATAGGTCGCGCGAAGATAAGTCAAGCAAGAAGTCATGGCCCAGAAGTCAAAGAACGGCGATCATCACAGAGAGCAGATGGGTCGAAAGCCAAGTGCTCTAAGTTTGACCACGATAGATATCGGACGACACGTCCCGTTTGATGCGGTGGGAAGTGCCTCGAAGTTTCAAACAGCAAGCTAAGGAAATCGAGCTCCTAGCCCAGATGGCACCTAGGAAGTTCAGGACTACCCTCCGTCTCCTCAATCTCCGGTCGATATTCTTGCCCAGATGGTCGATTTGGCCAGTTGGCGTTCGCCCAGATGGTCGGATTGCCAAATTGGCAGATTTGCCCACTTGGTCTTCGCCCAGTTGTCCTGGACCGGTCAGACTCTCAGTCGGAGATCAGAGAAGAGCCCAAGAAACGCCCGATGCCAGATTCGTCGTTTGACACTGCCAGAGCGGATCAATGTCATCATTGACTAAATCGCCACAGTCAAGGCGTTGATGCAGCGAGCGAACCGGCAGTCGTGTTGCTTCGCGATCAAATGACGCGGTCGCAGCGATCGACGATACCTTCTTCTCTTTATTTTGTTGGCTTCTGCGCTTTCTCTCGCTTGCTGGTTGGCCGGCCGGCCGGCGGGATTGCTCGGATAGATCCATGGAGTCTTTCTCTCAAGAAATGCTCGCTCGCTCTCCCTCCGCTACCACAAGCGCCGTCGCCGCAGTGATCGTCGCCGCAGCCGCCGCCAAGCCATGAAGCTGGAGAGGAGGTTGAGCTGGACCTCGTTGCTCCGACTGTGCCAGTGTTGCCGATGCTGCTGCTTGGTGGTGGTGGTGGTGTAGTCGCTGCTGCTGCCGTCGTTCGGTGGTGTTATTGTTGTGTGCTTACCTGCCGTTGCGTTCTTCGATCGAATCGAATGTTTCTCGATCTGATTCTGTGTGCAATCAATTCGAGAGACTTCCCAGACGAAAGGATATCGGAGGCTCAGGAGAGACAGAGACAAAATCACGACAGACCCAAGGATATCTGCTGACAGCAGGTTGAAGACAACTCGAAACCCATGTTGAGGATTGAAAAGAAAGTCCCACTCAGATACTCCAATTGAGGAACGCGACAGTTTCTTATCGATACCGTTCAATGCCTTAAACACCGCGTCCACGGAATACTGCGACAAGTGCAAAAACTAGTACGTGCGTGCCCTCGACAGCTCGAGATGTGAATGCCGTCTACCTGCTGCCGACGATCACATAATACATTGTCAGTGCTTCAGAGTGGCTTGTTTGCGATGAGGCGCGCGTGACAGTTCGTTGTCAAAGTCTTTGTTCGTCGAGAGAACCGACGAGACTTCCGAGAGGAATAGGGAGCGCAACACACTTGAACCTACGGAAGGATTCTACGGACACGAGAGTCAAGGAGTCCGAGCTTGAATTAGCTCAGAAGCTCGTTATTCCCGAAGCATCGCGAGAGGGACTCCGAAGGCTTCCCAATACATTATTTCCCGGATACCCAAGTTTAGCAGCGACAATATCGACCCAACTTACTATTCCCTGGTATAATTTTCAACCCCCCGTAACGGCCCCGGATTTCGTTCGGGGGAAGTTTTGTGGTGCGAAGACAGACCCGAAGCGTCTGAGGAATTCAGTGAGTGAGAGACCGAGGCGTCTTGTGACAAGCTCCCTTCGAATTTGATCGGATCACATTCTCAGATGTTACTCGCACAAAACGACGACGTGGCCCTGCCGAAGCTTTCTTTCGGCATGCTGAACCTGATTTTCGGCCGGAGTAAGTCGGTGACGATAAACGAAGCCGACCCATCGTACAAATGCATCTACCTAGGAAACGTGATCACGCCTTGGGCGAAAAACATCGAATCCGCCGCCAATACTCTCTGGAACAACCACGTCCGACGGCAGGTTAGCACTCAGATGAAAGTCAGCCTGACTCGACAGGGAATCAAAGCCTGGACCGAGCAACACGGACTCACTGAGTACTGGGCGTCACGCATAACCTTCTGTGCCGTGTCACCGCAACAGCCAAGCATGTTCTGTTGGGTGTACCGACACGAAACCACCCGGAACCTCAAGCAAGAACTCCGCTGTCACGCCGTTCTCTGCTCGAAAGCCTCGCAGATGGAGGACCAATTGCAGCAGAGACTGTGCGAGGCTCTGCAAGAGTTCCGTCGGGAGAAAATCGCCGCGCAGAGAGCTCGTCTATTGACCGGTCACACGAACGCACGCAGGCAGATGCTGTCTACGGGAACGTCGAATTACCGGAGACCACGCGTCCTCAAACTGGATTCGATCGAAGAAACGATCGAAGCCACACCAGAAGACGACAACGACAACGTTTCCCAGGAAAGTGGCTACGCCTCGGTGAGCATCTGATGACTTCGTTCATCGTGTCGTCTTGCTTTCGTTCTGATCTCTGATGCAAGCATCGATGCAGGAAAGAGATTAAGAGCTCCGATCTCAGAAAGCTCATGAAAGAGGAAATGTCGATCATCCGTCGAGAACTTCTCCCCGGACGCTTCTCCTCTGAGCTGATTCATTCCGTTCGCACGTTCTGAACTTCATCACATCTGCCCCGGGGCCAAATGTAGATACATAGAATCGACGACCACGATGGAAAACGACTTCTCCATCGGGAGGAAAATGTATGCTGAGGGTGGGGGGAGGGGGGGGGGCAGCTCCAGACGCCGGGTACGCCGTAATTGAACGACGTCACTACCGCTCAAAGTTTCATATGGAACTCTAGCGACTTCCTCCAATTTCTATCACTCTACAAATAATTCACGAGGGCCTCGATGAGAACTCGTCTGGGAACGGTCTCGTCGGTCTCGGACACATCCTCTAAGACGGAAATCTAGGGCATTATGGGAAGTTATGATTTTATTCGAGCACGGTCGCTACCACCGTCGCAGTGAGTTCCGTAGATTCGACTATATCCGTGAATTCTCCCTCCGTACGAGCCTGATCCTCCTTCGTCGGAACTTCAGGAATTAGGTCCGTCGAAGAAGACGCCTCCTGAAATTTGCTCGCGCGAGCTAATCTACGATATGGGACGATCGGGGCGATGTCGAGTCAAGGACACTTTCTCCGACCACGTCCATTCTAGCTTTCCGACGAGCGGTGGCATCCGCCGAATTGCGGGCAGTGAGCGTTGGCTCCCGCCATTACCGAGCTGCCATGTTTTCACGGTATCGGATTTTACTCGCTGGACGTTCCCTACTTTAATCTTGGCAATATCATACGCATCTACGCACGCCGAGGAACGAATACGCCGGGCGTCGAAGTCCTGGCGGCGGCCCTCGATCGACGTGGGAATCACGTCGCTTGCTGCCCTTGCAACAGAGCAATGGTACGCAAGAGCTTCGTGACCTCCGTGCAATCGATCCCAATCCCGTCGGGGCTCCCAGGCATCGAACGCTCGAGCCTGCTCAATCGTTTTCCGTGGAGCATCGTCCCATCTCTGCCGCTTGAATTGTCCACATGGGCTCATGTCGAAGCCTCCCGTGTCAGGCGCCCCCGCATGCAGGTCTCTCGCGAGACTATTCAGCAAGGTCGAAAAAGCAGCGCTTCGCCGCGCACTCGTGTCGCGGCCGCTGCCTGCGGAACTGACGTATGCGACTGATTTATTCGTGACATTCGCTGGGAGGAGAACATGAAACAGATATGCCCAGCTTCACACGGTGATGCAATACGTCGCTTTTCAGCAAGTCGTCGCTAAAAGTTGCGCTCCTCCGTGCGAGGCACCTTCGTGGTGACGATGGCTCGAGCGAGATTCTCCGCTACTTTCACAGCAGCCGCTGTCGTGTGGTCGTGAAGCGGAGGCTGCGGGATTTGTTTTTCACGTTCCCTTTGGAATGATCTCCTTGCCTAGCTCGATCCTGGGCTAGTCGGGAGGAGGAGTCGGAAGAATTCCAATGAACCCAACCCGCTCTGGAAATTTATTGTGTTCCGCATTTCCGGACAGTGTTTGGCCGATATGAAATTTGCCAAATCATGCAGGGCACCAATAAGTTGCGGCACCTTGATTTCGAATATGGACATCCGGTTCCTTGACCTATCCTGGGAGGGTTTTGCTTGCTCGAGAAACCTTCTTCTGTTACTCCTACCTCTCCTCTGCTTGGCCGAGGATATTTGCCTTCCCTCACTCCCTCTATCAGCTCGTTAGTCGGAAGAATGGATATGCAAAATTGCTTTCCCTCTCCGAACGTCTCCGACCGACGCTGTTGACAACATCCAGGCAGCAATTAAGTGAATTCCGAATCGCGTCGCTCAATCGGTGTCCAATTAGCAGGGGTGAGAGGGTTGCGGATCTCAAATGGGTCCCTCTGGGCAGAAGAGAGCCATCCCAACGGTGGGATCGGGGGGATATGTACTCAGGAGGTACAGACATATAACCATGGAAAAGTGATGCGATCTCATCGTTTGCGTCGCTGGTGGCGAAAGAGAAAACGAAACATACAGACCGCGCACAGGCAGACGAAAAACGGTCAGACAGAGGGGTAGGCAAGCGGGCAGGCAGACGGGCAAGCAAGCATGACGAGCCAGAATTCCAGCCGCATAAACGGAGACTAGCATCGCATCTTTCAAACAATGGGTACGAGATGGACGACTGACTATTGTGAAAGAAGTTCCGCAGCGGTCCTCGCTGCTGCCTTCGGCAACCATCAGTGGTATTCCTAGGCGTATGGAGTTCCTAAGACCCTTGCGTTGGTCCTCAACGTGGTGACGCTGAGGTCTCGATGAGCGAGGCTCACCCTGATCAATGCATCGCCCGTGGATGGACGCCTCAGTGAGAAATCAGCTGAGCGAGAACGCTCGATTTTGGACAAAGTGTGGGCTCGGTTGATACCGTGCGCTGGAACTCGCTCATAAGGTCCCAGCTGTACGAGTTGAATGGAGAATGAGTGAATGATCGGTGAAGAGAGTTCGTGACTGAAATTGGCATCGATGGACGAAATAACTTTCTTGTCACTTCGAATCATCGTCGTTCTTTTTTTCCACAGCCGGGATGTTGCTAAGACAGACCTGTAGAGACGCAAAAGGTGACTCATTTTGTTCTTGGAAAGATGCCGCCGAGCCCGCTAGACGATGTTCCGACGTTCTTCCGGAGAATGACTAGAAACGTCTGCTCATCTAGCCATCTGTCCACCCGTGCTCATTCTGTTATCATTTTCTCCATTCGGTGCAACGAGGACGAGACTGAATTTTCTTGAGCGTTCTGTAACTTCGGCAGCTCATGAATTTGTGTTGACGGTGTATAGAATAGCCGGGGTGTCGATAAGCGCTGCGTAACAAAAATGAGGCTATGTCATTCTCCTGAACATCCGATACGCAGCGCAACACAGAAATTGATTGAGCCCCGCATCGAGATAGCAAGTGTTCCATTCACGCAAACGTGTTCTCTAGGCTCAGCCGGTCAGTCGCACAAATCGAGGCTCTTGTATATAGTGGATGATGTAGCAATTTCTTCGATGTTGAACTTTACACGGAATCGAAGAATTTTGTAAAAAGGTGTAGATAGGAAAAGTTGAGAGCGGGAGAAAGCCCGCAGGAGATGGAGCGCTCGCGATGTGGTGGAGCCAATCCTGGAAAAGAATCCTAGATGCATATAAGAGCCAATAAAAACGAATGTATTTTCTGCGAATCGTTCTCACTACCGCATGAGATCCCGTTTTCTTTAAGAGCATAATTCTATTCCTCCACATCAGCATCTCTCCCCGAAGCTCTCCCCAGATGGACGTGGTCTCTGGGAACTTGATCTGACCGCACCATATTCTACCGAGGTATGATCAAATTCAAAGTTCAACTGCCAGTCCGAAGGGTGTGCTGCCGGTCGATGAAGATGACTCGAGTGCCGTCGAGGAGAGATTTCAGTTCAGTTCGGACAAAAAAAAGCTGCTCACCGCAGCCAATGGATGGGGCCACGGATAGAATGCGGAGAGCGATGTGCGACGAATCGCGGACCATTCGGAATCCGGGCGGGATACTTTCCGTAGATCAAGACGAAAAAGTCCCGAGTCTGAATAGTCAGACAATGACGGCTCTGATATAATAAAGATAATTCGCGAGAAGGATGTTCGTCCAACGTCGCATGCCAAGATCAATAAAAAGATTGTCGTCATCTCCCAGTGGTTCCTCGCCTGTGCAGTGTGTCAGCAATCCATCAATTCACACTCACTTAGCATCAATCAGATCCTATTGAAACATGTTCTCGATGCCATAATAGCGTGGGATCCGATGTTACAGCCGAAATGTGTTGTCTGCAAGCCGTCAGAGACAGATGCTCGATGCTGCCAAGAAAGAAACTACTTCCCAGCCCTGCGCGGCCCAGAGCAAGCGGTCGCTCGAGAGTTTTCAAAGATTCCATTCCATTTTTCTCAGTAGTCTTTTCGCACACCGCGATGAGATCAGGTGAGCGTCAACAATAATTCCTCTGAAGTGTCCCATTGGATAGTTTCGTCAGCGATCTCGTGATATGTCAGAAAATTTGAAATTCAGAGAGTACAATCAGGAAGTAGAAGAAGAGGAAACGGCAAAGGATTACCATGGGAAACGAATGTGCCCATACTAAGAGTGAAAAGCGATGTCATTCGGCACAGAGCTTCTTACGCCTTCCAAAATAAATAAAAAAAGAGAATCGACAAGAACGTCGACGGTGACTTTCGTTACTTGGCTCGCTTACTCGCATGCCTACGTGAGATTTCGGTCAAATTCCGAAGCGTCTCCGCTGCTTGGCATCTTCTGTCCTTCTGGCTGCGCAGCGTAGAGGCAGGGATCGCAGTTTTTCATCGAGCAATGGAAGCAGCATCAAACAGATCCACCGTCGACTGAACGCTCCAAGACACAGTGCTGCTTCTTGATTTCCAGATAATCCCACGAATGGATTTTCAGGCTCCCTGAGAGACTAAACCCATAATAACGAGCCTTAGTTTCCTGGACTGCCGAATTCTGTGGGACAAGCATGTTGGTTATGATGGCGCTAATAACAATTGTGATAAAACAGATCATTGCAGCATAATCAGCTAGATCTGGCGGTTGTGCTCCTCTTTCGCATCTGCCCAGAAGTGTAAGGTGCGCTTCGAATTCTCTTCCAATTGATATTGCTCTATTATTACCCCAAAATAAGTTTCCTTCCACTTCCAAGCTGACGGAGCATCGTGGCTCATCGACGCCGATAAGTACGAGATCCTTTGGCTCGCTTCGACGACTTCCGCTCACTATATTCGCGGATGTCACAAAAAGTGAGTGGCAGAGAGCCGGCGAGCATTGAGAGTGACACAGGCCCGAAGATAGTATCCGTCATCCCTACAGTTCTCTCGTCGCTCTTTCATCTACCTTTCCTTCGTTCCGCCGTCTGCCCGCCCGAGCTTAGACAG